GGGCGGGCCGGGCCGGGGGGGCGGGCGGGGGGCGCCGCGCGGGTGCCGGTCCGGCCCGGCCCGGCCCGCGGGAGCGGCCCCGAAGCCGCCCCGGCCGCTGCTTTATTATTACTGTTCCCTTGTTGTTGTTGTTTTGCATGCTTTATTCTAAGTGCAGCTTTTACGTTTTTTGGTGCACTGTCTGCAAATCGCAAACCTTGAACAGCAAGTGGGGTCACGTCATTTCTTTAGACGGTATCAGTTTGTTTTGTGACTTAATTTGTTTATGTTTTAAACTTCCTAATCCCTTTGACCATCTGGAAAAGCTTTTTTTGGGTTTGTTCATTATTGCCCGTGCGGGGTCCTGGAGGGCGCGGGTGGTGCGACCGCACAAACCGCGCAAACAGCTGGATTTTTGTACCTTTAGCTGCCCTGGAGRAGGTTGCCCGAGAACCGCAGCTGTGACCGGGGGGCTGCGGGGCCGGGCGAGGGGTGGGCGCCGGCACGGGGCCGGGCGGTCGGGAGCGCGCCGTGGGTGTAGGGGGATGTGGCGAGGCCAGGGGCGTGCAGGCGTGCGGCCACGTGTGTCCCACACGTGTCCCGTGCATGTCCCCTGCGTGTCCCGCGCCCACTCCGGCCGCTCGCAGCTGCCGCCCACTTTGGAGTGGGGCTGCTCCGCGGAGCCCGTCCCCTCTGCGCACGGGCGCTTGAGGCGCTCGTGGGGATGCGGATGCAGCTTCCCCGCGCGTGTTCCCACCCGGCACTGTTCCCACCCGGCACCCGGCCTTCCTCCCACTCCTCCTCGCCGCCCGCAGAGCGCGCTGCTCGCGGGCGGCTGCAGCAGCCTCCCCTGCCCGCCCTCCCTTAGAGGCTCCGGGAGGCTTGTCCATCTAAATTAACCTCTCTCGCAGCTGGGCACACAAATGTTTTTGTTTTAGCTGGCGGAGGGTTAATGCAATTCAGCGCCGGGGCGCGCGGGGCCCTGCGGGTCCTGAACGGGGCTTGCAGCGATCGCTCCCACCGCTGAGCCCCGTTCTCTGCCTTGGCACTAAGAACCAACGGGAAGGGGGGCGTTAGGGAAGATAAGGGGACAAGGGGACGCGCCTGTCAGTGCGCGGGGCGAGGGGAGTGTGCAAGGGGCAGCTGTCCACGTGCGAGAGCTCCGAATTTCCATGTCGCCRGGAGCAGAGCGGCGAGGTGAAGCCGCAGCGGGTGGCGGGTGTCRTGAAGGGCCGTGTTGAGCACGGCAGCGAGCAGAGCCCTCGCGCAGCCGGCCCGCGGCACCGCCGGCACCCAGCCCGCAGCACCGCCTTGTGCTGGCCGTGGCCCTGGGGGACACCGGGGACATGTGCGGCCCCGCCGGGCACGTGGCACGGGCACCGGGTGCTGCTGCAGCCTGAGCAGCAGGCGGCCCAGTGCATTGTAATAATTCATAGGCGTGTTATGCATTACCTAAGCTGTGCATGGAAAGCTGCATCCTTGCTTGTTGCAACAGGCTTCTGCAGCGCTTTCTTCTGGAAATTTGTGAATTTCCACAGAAGAGTTATCAGCACTACTGAGGGGAAAAGAAACTCTTTAAAAAGTGTGTTGTGTCAGTGGTTTGCGGCCCAGAACAGGAGTGGGCTGTTCCTGCGCTTTCTCACACCATCTCCGTGGCTCCTGTGTAACATCTTAATATTCCTGTAGAATTTGCATTGTATGAAAACGTGGTATGAAACCCGCCGTGACCTTTGCGAACAATGCGCCCTTTAGTGCGCTTCGGGGAGGGGTGAGGGAGGCAGCAGCCATAAAAATCTTCAGGGTTCAAGATGAGGTTGAGATTTTTGTGAGTGCTTTTGTTGCAGCAGCAACTGTTTGATTTGTGGCCCCCGTTACAATGGGCCGCGGGAACAAAGCCGCAATATCCCGTGTACGAGTTGGTTAAATGCAAGGCACGGGGAGAAACGAGAAGAGCAGCGCTCCCGATGCGGCGCCGTCGGCGTGTTCCTCGCCCGCCGCCTTCCTCGCGTGTTCGCTTGCGCGAGGAGCTCGTGCTGCGTGGGGCGAGAGCAGCAAAGGGCAGAGCTGGTGAATGCACRGGCGGCCACGGTGCCCGCGATTCCTGCGCGGTTTCCAAATGCCGAAACCCTGAGGTTTCCCGCRGGTGCTTCTTGCCGACCGCCGGCTTTGTTCGAGCAGCAGGGCCCCCTTGGTGCCCCTGCTCGTGGCGCCGCGTGGAGCCCTCTCGGCCCCTGGTCCCGGCCCTGCGTGGGCCGCGCGTTGCGGCGAGGGTGCCGCRGGGACACGGTCACGTTCAGGTGCCGCTCGCGGGCCCCGCGCGGACGGGAGGCCGCGCCAGGGTGATGGGCCTCTGCCCGCGCCCACGAGCGTCCCCGGGCGAGAGGTCGCCCTTGTGCAACCTGCCGATRTTTCTGTACTTACAGTTTGTGTTTCCCTTGCTCATTCATTTGATGTAGGGTCTTAACACAGTTGCAGCAAAATTCACAGCAAAATGCAAATTTGCTAATGGTGCATCAGTGAATCATAAATAAAAAGAGTGATGCCAATGGGTATTGGAGGGTTTAAGTTCTAGAGAGCTGCTCGTGACCARAATCAGCTGCTTGTCATTTTTTGCTTTGCTTGTGTAATAACTGCAGRCTGGTTTCATTTCTGATCCCAGCGCGTTTGACTCGTTTATTCTGCTGGGCTCATCTGTTGTGCAGCAGTGAGGAGCTAAGCAGGGGTCTGTCACAGTGCTCGGGGTTTATTGGGATTACAGAGGACTTGGCCGAGGCTTCTTCCTTCTGCCACTCCAGAAGTCCAGTAGATAAAAATAACAGCATCTCCGGGCATCATCCAGCAAAGATTATTTGATATTTGAACAGGAAACCTTATGAAGTTCACTACAGATTTGTGCTTATCCATGAGTGTGCTAGAATAGTGTCCATTTTTGAATATCAGCTCTGTTTCTAAGCAGCAGGATTATTCCTGGGTTACAGTATCGAGGAAAGGGGAAGGCAGAGAGATTCCCCTGGAACAAGAGGGGTCAATCTGTTTGCCCGTATTAAGGGTCTGCTGCAGGAAAAGGCTTCTGGTGCAATTTGCTGGAATTAAATTAAGTATAGCTGACTTCTAATGTGAAGCAAGATTTGGGTCTCCGTATGTAGATGCAAGATAATGAGCAAACATCTAGGTTAACTAAGTCAGTTGCTTTAGCTGTCAGTTACTTGTTCCTTTCAGGTTGACATCTGTGTCTGTGAAGATTACTATGTGCTCGCCGAGATCCGTGCCCGGCTTTGCATCAGCCCTATTCTGTCGCAGAGCGAGCGGCAGAGCCTTACGATACCAAATTTAATATGACAGCTCCTGTTGCTGGGAGTTGTACGATTTACATTTTTTTCAGGCCTTTGAAAGATTTGGAGAAGGAATAGTAAAATCAAGTTGTTGTGGCTTATAACCTTGTTTTYGTTCATGTAATAATGTTGGCTCAGATTCTGGGTGTGTGAACTGTGCAGTGAGGCTCTCGCTGGCCCTGCTTGAGCTGACAGAAGGATCCTGTTCCGCTGCTTGTCTCCGTTTGTCCCAGCAAGACACAAACCTGCTGATATGTCTGAAATGGAGGGTTCGGGGCAAGTCTATCCGTGTGTTCTCTGGGTTTTCGCAGCCTGGTCCCTGCGGGAAACTCTCCGTGCAGCGTCACCCTTCCCTGCTGCCGCCTCCGCCTCCTGCAGCCTCCTCTTGCAGGGGGGCACCCGGTCAGGCCCCTCACTCCTGGGGAGCTGCCTCCTCTGGGGATTTTCCTTCCCCAGTATTATCTTTGCTCTGCACTTTTCCCCTTCTCCTGGGGCCTGTTTTCCTCWATGCCTGGGGGGAGTTGGGGCAGGTGCAGGATGCCGAGTGGAGGCGACTCTAATGCAGGAGGGAAGGCTCAGCGTGCCCCAGCAGGCTGTCCCTTCACTGCGGTGTTGTTCTTGCCTTGCAGATGAGCGGGTGGATCAGCGAACCTGCCTTATCTGCGGGGACAGAGCCACGGGTCTGCACTACGGGATCATCTCCTGCGAGGGCTGCAAGGGGTTCTTCAAAAGGAGCATTTGCAACAAGCGGGTTTACAGATGCAGCCGGGACAAGAACTGCGTCATGTCGCGCAAGCAGCGGAACAGATGCCAGTACTGCCGGCTGCTCAAATGCCTCCAGATGGGCATGAACCGCAAAGGTAGGCGGCCGCGCGCCCCCCGGGCCCCCCCAGCCCAGGGACACCCCGCACGGCCTCGCTCTGCTCTCCCGCTTGCTGGGCAGCCTCTCTACCCTGCCCCTTTCCAGGCTCAGCTCTCCAAGTAAGCGCTAGACACGCGTCTGTCTCATCCTGCCTTTGCCTAAGGCAAGTTCCGGACTCAGATACATCGCTCAYGTCCACAGGCCTTTCCTGGTGGTGTGAGAGGCCGTTTGGACTCATTTCCAATGTGGAAAAGGGTGTGGAGGGAAATCCATTGGTCCCCTTTTAGCAGCRGACTCAGCTGCGTTGGAGCGTGGCTGCCGTGGGCCGTGCTCGGGGCAAGAGTGCCATCGCCTGGCGACGCGGCGCAGAGCCCACCACCGCCGCTCGCTGCGGCCTTCGCCTCCCTTACCCCGCGCCTCCCCAGAGCACGAGGATGGCAGTCCCGAAGGAATACAGCCGGTGACTGATACGGTGTTTAGGGCTGTTTGCAAGTGCTTCAGGATGGGGGTTAAAGAACAACTGGTACATTTAGAGGGTTTTTCAAGTAAACATACACATTTTGAGAGTTTGTGTCACGCAAACCTACCAAGCACCAAACAGAACTTGCTTGGGAAGGGAAGAGGTGTCAAGGAGCCCTTGCCCCTCACACAGCCGTCGACAGGGTCTCGTGGGGAGCTCCCCTAGGAGGAGCTGGGCAGCCGCACGGCCACGGCCACCTCGTAAAGCCACCACAGACACGGAGCTGGGTCGCGCTGCTCAGCGGTGGAAAGCAGCAGTGTTCCCTTTTGTTTACTTGTTTCTTTTCCCTTCTCGGTTCTAGGTTAAGATTTTCCTGTCATTGTGCCCGAGCTGTTGCCTAATCAGGTTTCAAAGTTACTCCATAAAGCTGTATGCAGTGTTGTTCCTGAAGGCAGATAATGCTGGCTTGTCCCTTGCCCCGTTTGTGCAGGGAACAACGCTAAGTTTGCAGGAAGGAGCAGTCGGATTGCAGGGGCCGCTCCTCTGGAGGGCCCTGTGCCGCCGAGCCGCGCGCCGCGCTCCGGCACTGTCCTGTGTGGAGGGCTTCCCACGCAGGGAGCCCTCGCCAGCATCGGTGTCTGTTTCAGGACCTGAACTTAGAGCTGTTGAACCTAAAATCTAGTCTTGAAAGGGGAGAAAATGATTATAGTCTGTTTTCCTTGGTTTGAAAAAGTGGAGGACTGGGGAGCACTTTCCAGTTGGGAATCCTCTGCACTCCTGAAAAAGCAGAAATGCATAATTTTTAAACTAAATATACCACATTCCTAGGACTTTTTTTTTTTTTCCTTTTTTTTTTTTTTTTTTTTTTTTTTTTTTTAAGGATAGAACTGGCTAGGGGAAAGTTGAATACAAGCAATGGAATTTGTTTATCCTCCAGTACTTGAAAAATACCACCAATCTTAAAGAAATAGCCCTGCACCTGGACCTGGAAGAAGACTGATGAAAGCCAACCCCCTTCACCCCAGGGAACTGCAGCTAAACTGCAAGTGGACCTGAACCCTGGGCTCACATGCAAGGGCTGCTCCTGGCGCCGTCGGCTCCTCGAAGCCGTGGGGCAGTGAGGCTGGAGCGGCCCCACGAGCTGCAGGGCAGCACTGCTGCACTTCTGCCTCAAAGAGCAAAGACCAGCCTGGCAATCAAAACGACGGCTGCAGAGTGCCCATTGAGACCCACCTGCAAGTTTCTATGGGCAGATTTCCCAAAGCCTCCTGCGAGGTGGCAGGGATGTGCCAGAGGAAGTGAGCAGTTGCTGCAGTTGCACTTGGAAGTCCAAGGAGCAGGACACAAATGCTGCCTGACACTTCAGTGAAAATACTTGCTGCTGTACTGAGGTGGTAGGGTTTGCCTTTGAATCGTTAAAGAAGGTGGCTGCCGGAAGACTTTCCTAGCACAGCTTTTTTTTTCTTATTTTTTTCTGCATTTCTGCTTGTGGGGCGCCTTTGGCCAGCGCTCCGTGTCGAGGCAGGGGGAGCGGAGCCGCAGCAGCAAGGTCGCTGTGCAGCTGGGACGAGCCTCCTGCCAAGTCTGCCCGAGCCGTGGTGGGAAAGAAGCTGTGACCTCATAAGCATAGGAGGGACTTGGCCGGCAAGCGAAGAGCAAAAGGAACAGCTGAAAACCGTAAAAACAACCTCTTCTTCTGCAAAGTTTCTCTGCTAATAAAGAGAAAAGAGGGAAGAGGAAGACAGAAACAAGCCTTTGGATAATCTTCTTGACTGAACTTCAGTGAAGCTTTCTGGAAATGGCTTGAAGAGCCTTAAAAAGTGCAGCTTCTCTGTTTAGAAACTAGGTGCCTTTTTGCAGCGACACTGCTTAGCCTAGCCTAGTACCCGGGGTTTAAAGAGCTGTTTGCACGCACCCTGCTTGGGAAAGTGTCTCCTTCTCATTTTCTGCAGTAGTTTTAGGGGCTTTGCCCTCTGCAGCAGCAGAGGTGGCGGCTCCAGGCCTGCGCTATGCGCGGGCTGGGAGTGATGTGTCCACTTGGCATGGGCCTGCCCAGCGCTGCTGGCATCTCCCCCGGCAGCCGCTCCGTGCCCCACGGTCCCGCGGGAGACACCGCTTTCCCCTCAGACACCTAGAATTAATTATGCTGAAGGGCTTGCTGCTGCCTCCACTGTCACTCAAGGATCCCAAGGATCAGTACTGAGCTCCGTGGGTAATGCCCATAGCTTTGTTCCCCTTGTGGGCAGCGTCACAGTGCAACGTGCTCTAGCCCTGCAGCGCCTTGCAGAGCGCGGGGCGTTCCTATGTAAATGGCTTTGAACAGAGACATCAGTCTCTCAAGATKGTTTGTTTATTGCAAGTTAGTGGGTGTTGTCTTATCTGTTTGGGGATACTGAGTAGCAGTGCTGCTAACCAGTGTTTGGTTGTATCTTTCAGCAATCAGAGAGGATGGCATGCCAGGAGGCAGAAACAAAAGCATTGGACCTGTCCAGGTGAGCACGTGCACCCACTTCCCGCGGTTCTCTTCAGTCGTTGCTCTCTCGAGCTTTGCACACACCTCTGCAATGCGTGGACTAACCTGCTTCTGCAAGGGGGAGAGCGAAGCAGCTTCTGCTCATGCAGCAGAGAGTTAAGTAGTTTCCTGATGGGAGAAGGGGGAGGCCTGTGCACAGGAGGTGCATTTTCCAAATTCTTCTCSACGTCTGTTGAGCTGCTTCCTGCTGGCCTGGCGGGCTCTGGCTCTCCCCGAGTGTTAACAGTGCATCCCATGCGGAGCAGGTTTGGAAACAGGGCTCTGTGCTGGCCTGTCCGCGGCGAGGGGCCGCGCCGTGGCCGCGTGCCTTGCCGTGGGGTGGCTCCATGCACAAACCAACAACCTCTGCCCTGGCGYGGCCGCTCCGGGGAGCGCGGGTCCTTTGTAAGCAGCGCAAGTGCTTCAATCCCTGCAAAGCTCCCAGTAAATCTCGCAGTCTCTGCACTGCAATTTCTTAAGTTGTTGCAAGTGGGGCACCCAGTAAATGTCAAACTGATGGATGGTGCAGCTTGTCTGGAGCTGTCCTGTAAAACGCCAGGTAATTCAGCACAATAGCTTGTGCTGCACGCCTGAGAAATGATGGCCATTTCCAGCCTGCCTCTAGAAGAGCTCTCTTTAAAAAGTTTACTGTTCATTTTAATAAAACAGAAATAACACAGAGGCCGTTTTTGTAGCTCTGTGTCAAAATACTGCTTGCTCCAGTGCAAACCTGAAAGCRCAAAACACCAAGCAGTGCTCAGGCTCTGCCCAGCTCAGCAGGGTTTCCAGCATTAAATAAGAAGGCAGTGAGGGGTCTGGTGGAGCTGGAGCAGCCSCCTGCCTTGGGCAGCATGGGGACCTAGTTCGACTGAAAAAGAAAAAAAGAAGAAAAAAAATCCCTCTCAATAATTATGTAACATTTTCTAATGTTTGGAAACACCGTGTTTCTAAGAGCGTTAGTTAGTGATTCTTAAAGCCTATGTGGGCATGTTGGGGAAGAGCACACCCTCAATCCCGGGGCAGCTGACCGAATTCCGGCGGCGGCGGGCAGCGTGGCCGCAATAAACCCGCGCGGAGCCGGGGGAATTGTGCGGCAGGTCAGTGCTGGGCTGTAGATTATGTCACCAGCTCCCTGTCCTGTGGGGAGGCTGTTTGATTGTCCTGCTCCTGAGGCTCTGTACCTGGGTAACTCCAGTACGTCCTCCTGACAGTTCTGCAAGCCTGGAATGAACCGTCAAAGCAGTGCTGGGTTCTTTATGCCTCTTGGAAAGCATGGTTAGAGTTCACTCCGCTCCCTGCAGTTAAGACCCCTTAACTCGGGGTCTTTACATGCAGAGACACCCTTCCTAGGGGACATGCACGGAAGAAAAAAGTATATATTAATGATAGAAAGCTTTATGTTGCATTTTTCTTGCTGCTGATGTATATTCAATTCTTTCTTGAAACTATATGTACTGTTGGCCTCTGCAGTATCCTGAGGCAGGGAATTCTGTTTTTTTTAATTATATGCATTATATAAAAAAGCTCCCTACTACCTCTTTTAAATCTGAAGCTCGATTACTTGCTTAGATACAGTCTGGTTCTTGTCTGAGGAAGAACAGTCAACAATAATTCCCTATTAGTTTTCCTTACTAATTTCTCTGTATCACACTGCCTTTCTTCAATTGCTTTATCAAACCAAAGCCTACTCTGCCTCTTACCTCTGCCRAGTATTGAGTGATGTTTTCAATGGACTGGCTCAATTACTGCCGGTTTTCTTACGTGTGTGACTGGCTGATTTATGGCTCATTGCCGTGTGTATATTTGATGTTATCTTTTCACATGTCCATTACTGGCTGCTATGTTATTGTCACTCCAGTTGTACTACTGGAACTGAAGGTCACTGTGGTTTGCTGTAAATAGGATTTTTCATGTATGTTATTAAATGTAAGGGGGGGGAAGACGTGAGTTTTTTAGGAATGGCGAAGCATTTCTGCCCATGTGGTGCGAGTCGCTCAGGGTGGCAGCGCAGCCGAGGGGTCTGTGTAGGGACACTCTGCCCTGCTTGGTTCTCAGCTGAAGCAGCAGCCTGGCACTCACTATAATGCTTTTGTATCTGCAAGATATCAGAGGAGGAGATTGAAAGAATCATGTCTGGACAAGAGTTTGAGGGAGAAGCAAACATGTCATGGAGCAACAACGGAGACAGTGACCATAGTTCCCCTGGGAATGGAGTTTCTGAGAGCAACCAGCCTTCACCTGTGTCTACTCCATCTTCAAGGTGGGAATTCTGTCACATCCCTCAGTTTCAAGTTCTTCTGTTGGCCATATTTCCCTGGATGATGCGTTGGGTTAATGTAGAAAAATAGACCATCGGTGTATGTTTGCCTAGATAGAGCACAGTACGAATTCTTACATCTCCAGATGCTTTTTCGACAGACACGCAGTGAATTAAAAAAATAAATCTGAACTGGGAGGTGAACTGTTCATGAGGAAATACCAAAGGAAGGCAATACTGAGTTAAAACTCTAATATTTAAAATAAATCCTCCAAGCTGTACTGATTTTTTTCTGCAGATTATGTGAACTTGGTTAACTTTAGGGTTCATTCTGTATAAAATCCTTTTTTTTCTACCATACAAAGATTTTGAAATAAACTTCTCATTTAGGTGGCTAATTGGTAGTGTTGTATTAAGGTCAGTTATCCTTAGTGTTGCCTTTCTGACTCACATTTGCTTCTAAGTGCAGCAAGAATCTGAAACTTGTGTTCTGTTTGCTTTCAAGTACTCCCAAATATGTCTTTTTAAATAAGGAGATATTTGTGTTTACTCTTTGCATAAAAGCACTTAATTTACAATCCTAAATTTAAGAAAGCAGACATGGAAGTGTTTAATGTAATCTTGGATTTCTTTTTGTGCTAGGAATGGCTGCTAAGCAGCAGTTTGCAGCTCTTCACGTTAAATGGAGCTAGCAAGGAGGTCAGGCTGAGCGCAGTGCAGGCACAAGGCATGCAGTCGACACACGCTCAATTATTTCCATTGCAGAGTTCAGATGCAAAGGGATTTTTCATTTTGTGTTTTGCTTCTTGTTCTATTTTTATTAACATTTCTGACCGAGCCACATTTTAGTGGCAGGATATTTTTGGATATTAAAGAGCTGTTGCTTTTCCAGCAGGTCCGTGGAGCTGAATGGCTTCGCCGCACTCAGGGATCAGTATATTGGGACGCCGGTGTCCACGCACTATCAGTACCTCCCGCACCTTTTTAGCTATTCCGCGCACTCGGCGCTGATGCCCCCGCAGACGCGCAGCCTGGACCCCCAGTCGCACAGTCTCATCAATCAGCTGGTGTCGGCTGAGGACTTGGAGCCGCTTGGCACTCCGATGCTCATTGAAGACGGGTGAGTGTGTCCGGCGGGGCCGCGCGACTCCGGGCGGCCGGTCGCTTCGGGCACGGCTGCCTCCGTGCGGCCGCGCTCCTGCAGCTCATGCCGCGCAGGCTGCTGGCACCGGCACTGCTGGGCGCACTGCGGGGACCAGGCTGATCACCAAGGGGCCGTGTGAGCTCTGAGAGGCCGGCAGAGATGGGGCTTCTTGCCCCAGGCAGTGCTGGTGCGTGGGCTCGGCCAGGGAGCCAGCACTCACCGCGCTTGCCACCAGGTGACACTGCGCGCCCCGCCATTCGGGCCGGCAAGATAAATTCCTCAGACACCTTCCTTGCTTTTCAAGTGCCTTGTCAGACTATGTCATTCGATGTTGTTAATTATTTTTATGCCTTCCTATTAACTGTGCCTGCAGGTATAAAGTGACTCAGGCAGAGCTGTTTGCGTTGCTGTGCCGCCTGGCGGATGAATTGCTTTTCAGGCAGATTGCTTGGATCAAGAAGCTGCCGTTCTTCTGCGAGCTCTCCATCAAGGACTATACCTGCCTGCTGAGCTCCACGTGGCAGGAGCTGATTCTGCTCTCCTCGCTGACGGTTTACAGCAAGCAGATCTTCGGTGACCTTGCAGACGTGACCTCCAAGTACTCCCCCTCCGACGACGAGCTGCACAGGTGAGCGGGGCTGCGGCGCGTGCGGCACGGCGGGCGGGCAGCCCGGCTGCCTTACCTTTCTGGGACTGCCTAGCCACRTCTCCCGGCACGAGTCACTTAACCCGCTCCCATTTTCCTCGTCTATATCCAAGGAAGGATTATTCTATGCTTATAAAGTACCCTTGAGAATTCATGACTGGCCATGTCTGGTAAATGTTGAATAAAAGCTTTCTTTTGCAAGGGAGAAGAGGGTCTTCCAATACTTGTTTTGAGCTGACCCCTCCACAGGGCTCTGCTGACCGTACGCAGCTCTCCTGTTGCTCTTGCAGCTGGAGGAGAGCTGCGTGGGACACGCTCCCCTTTCCTGGAGCACCACGGGTGCCTCCTGCTCTGCTTCTACGGTAATAGCTTCTTTATCACCAACAGGACTCATCACTGCAGACCTCATTCAAATGAACTCGTGAGGTTGCATTTACAAAGCCTCAAGTGTAAATCCTTAATATCATGCGTTGATTTTCTGATGTCGCTGGGTAYCCAAAGCTCATGTCAACGCAGCACTTCTGAAAATTATGCTCTAGACTCAAAACACAGGCGTTTGCCATTCTGACATGTGGAAGATGCATCGTGTTTGTATAGGCTTTCTTAGAAAAACCCATGTGCGTTTGCCATCAGTCTGGCATATCTGGATTTAGAGGGAAATTTTTGTTTAAACATTCTCTTTTTTAAAATATTATTTTGGATAATTTGAAATCTTTGTCCTTCTTCAACTGCGCATTAACTTAAGACAAAAATTTAGGATTTAAATGTCACCTCCTTATGATGACTGGTGCTAGAATTCCTCAATGCAGGATTTCTGAACTGATTTACTTACCTTCATCCTCAAACTGTGAGAAGACAGCCACACATAAATCATGTTTTGAAGTATTCATTTGGAATTATACRTAGAAAAATGACAAGACAATATTTTTCACCCTGATCCTTTGACTTCAGTTTGTATTTTCTGTGGAGACTGGTGATTTTGTTTTCCTCCTCCTCCTGGTTGCAGTGGCTGATTGCGTTGGCCGCTTTGCGGGGAGCGTGGCTGCTCTCCTGAACTTGCTCCAGAGCCATCTCTAAGAAACCTTGATACGTTTTCTAAATCTGCTTTTGAGCTCATTTCTTTCATCAAAGTTGGTAGAATTGATTAAAGCTGGTGGAGGCCTCTCCCAGGGCCTGCTGCCCCTCTCCAGCACGAGTGGAAATAAAACAACCCATATAAGACTCAGCTGCAGAGGGAAGGTCCTAGTTAAAAATCGGCTGTGCCTGTGGAAAGCTTGTTCCCAAGCTGGTTGTCTTTAGTAACAAAATGCCATGTTATTAATTGCAATGTCATTGTTTTGATTACATAAATTTAAGGGTGTTGCAACTTAGCTCTTCTTTTTTCCATAGTTTGTGTTATCTGATGATCTGGAGAACCCGCCTTTCATTTATCATTTTGGTCTTGTCTTTTTTTTTCGTTTTCTTTTCCCCTTTGTCATCCTGATGCCAGGCAGAGCCTTGTTTTGGTAATAAACTCGCAATATTRTGACAAAAGAGGTACGATTTGCTTAACGTGCCACCTACCTCCCCTTTTAATACTTGCGCTGCTCTGGCTCGTGCCTTGCTAGGTGGGCAGCTTTGCCGGTCATTAAGGAGTCCAAGCATTGGATGAGCAGAGATTTAGAACCCTGCTCCGGTCCTCAGTATCTCCCCAGGCCTTGAGGATTCTCCTGCCTCTGTTCTCACAACCTTGCCCTGACGCTGGGGACTCCTGTGTCATTTTTCTGCCTGGGAGCAGAGGCGCAGCCAGGCTGACTTGCTAGTGATGGCAGAGGAAGGAGGTGGAAGAGCCGAGAACTGGACCCAGGTGTCTCATTTCCTAGGGTGGGTTCCGAAACACGGCCCTGCTCTGCCTGCCCATTCACCGAGCATCTGGTGCTGCTCCTGTGAGGAATATTAAGGGTCATAGGAAAACACAGTAACGCTTGTTCCTATATTCATCYTTCCTTTTGTTCATGCTGTCCTGGTCAGAGCCTCGGAGGAGAAGTGTTTGTTTCATTTTGGGCTTGTGATAAATATGAGCGAGAGGTAAAACAAGAAGACAAAAGAGGAATCCTGGCCCTTCAGAAGCTGCAATTCAAAGCTGGTAGCTTGGAAAGTCCTTCACAGAAGATCCGTGCGTGTAGATTGAAAGAGGTGTTCTTAGTAGCAGAATGTTTCCTGTAATCTGTTTTTGTCATTTAGCTCTTCAAGTATCATTAATTGTCATTAGTAAAATGGGAAAGTGCAGACCAAAAAGTCCATTTAGTGGGAAGTTGCACAGATGAGAGATCTTGAGCTGTATGAGTCCCTTTTGGTCTTTCAGTTGTCTTTAAGCCATGGATAAGCATAATCCACACACATAAATATCTGTGTGCGCCAGCGGCACAGTACATCAGTGTTAATCTTTCCTATGCTCTCTGAAAAGGAGATTCTCTTAAAAAGCTGTATCATCCTCTATCTTCTTTGGGACCAATTCCTTGAAAATCCCAAGGGATTTTTTCCTTGAAAATCCCAAGGGAATTCTGCAGAGAGGCGCCTGACTCCTGTGCTGCCTTCAAGAGCCTCCATTTCCTTGGCGAGTGCCAGCATCAATTAATACTGATTGCAAACTGATGTTCGTTTGATGTGCCCAGTGGGCACCAGGGCTCTAATCAGTTCTAACAACAGGCTACGTGTTCTGCTGGCCTCCTAGATCAAATGTTTTCTTCCTTGTGTGCTGTTTTTCTGTAGATGAATTTGAAATGAATAGATTCCTGACCTCCCCCAACACCCTTCGGATACCGCGTCCCTTCCCCCGCCTCCTGAGCTAATCCTGATAACTCATAGCCCGAGCCTTGCTGGTGTAAACTGCGAGGAAGAGTGTGTGGAGGAGTCGGTCCTCGAGAAGAAATAGGGCTGTGAAAAACAGAACAGCTTTGTTTGAAAGGGGGAGGAAAGTATGCACAGAAAAGTAAGACAGTTCAACTGCAGGAATGAGAGAAGAGCTCTCCTGGATTTATGAAGTGATGAGTGGCTGGTAAAAATGTGCATGCTCTAAAAACAATTAAACCCAACAGACGACTGAGTGGTCTTTGTGCTCATTAACTTCTTGAGCTTTGCAATCTTGCACCTGCAAGATTTTTAATGTCAACTTGAGAGCATGAAAACTTGTACAACTTTAGATTAGCCGACAAGGCTTTCATCACCAGCAATATTACTTTCCTGAAGAACTGACCCGAGGTTCAAATAGCTTGTTTTCACTTCTCTGGGGCCAAACTCCACCGTGCATTTTACAAATAACTTTGAAGTAAACAAACATACATGCCAAAATAAGGTATTATTCAGTGAAAAAGGTTCTATTTTTGTTCTATTCAGAGCCGCCTTTCTGCCTGTGCTCTCGCTCTTTGTACTGCACAATGCCAGAATGCAGCTGAAGTTTGCCAGGGCTCTTCTGTCCCACTTCTGAGTGCTTATGCAACGCACAGGTTCTTTCACACCGCTGTTCTGCTGCACAGCATGTTCAGGAGAGCCCATCACTGGTCATTGGCACAATGGGACCTCTCTGGAGCCCAACGCTGGGTGCGGGAGCGTGGATCTGGGTGCCTTCCCATCTCTGCTCCCTCCCCGCTCCTGCTTGTGCCACTTCTCTCTCGCTGATGCCCCAGCAGGACATGGCCCCTGTCAAAGAAGCCTCTCTCCCTTTGCGTTGACCACCTTGTTCTCCACTGCCAGTCCTCCACTGGGCTGTTTCCCATGGGATTCGGGGAGACTGTGCACCTTCTGCCACCCTCCCATTCCTGTTACCAGGCTCATTTGGCACGCAGGCAGCTCACAGAGAAACRTGCAGCTCCTTTCCAGCAGACTTCCCATGCTGACGGCTTTCTTGGAAAGATCTCACCCTGCTCCTGTCTCTGAAGCTCCTTAGATGTTTATTACTGTGTGTTGGGCATCAGCCTCCCCCACGGGCCTGTTATCGCCTGCTGTAAGCCCTGCAGCGGCGGCTGCCCGTCTACCTGCTCCGTACGGACGGAAACGCGCGCAGCCTCCCGAGTTGCCGGGAGCTCCGCACGGAAGGGGCCCCTCGGGGCACCCAGCTCCTGATGGACCTGCCAGATCCCAGCCCAGCTCCTGATGCACCTTCCAGATCCCAGCCCAGCTCCTGGTGCACCTGCCCTTCCAGATCCCAGAGCCCGTGACACCCGCGCTCTCAGCACCGCTTGGCTTTCTGTTCATTTGGTCTTCGTAAGCGTTTATGAAGTGGGATGAATCCTGCATGCCCCATTTAGGGGGAAAATTTCAGAGGGCACAGTGTGCCCTTACTTGAGCAGCAGCAGGGAGTCTGCTTAGGCACTAAATCTATAACTCAGGGTTTCACTTTTGTGATACTTATTYATATTTGTAGCCATCCTGCTCTGAGAAAAGGACCCCGTCCTCGCCATGGTACCTCTTGCCCCCAGCAGATTCACAAACCGTAACCACAGGCCATAAGTAATTACAGCACAGGAGTATAGCTTCTACCAGTAGTCACTGGTGGGAATTTTGGAGGGTGGGTTCCCTTGCCTTCCCGTTAGGATAATGACGTGGAAAACACTGCTCTACCTGGGCTGTCTAATTGCTCGGTGTTTAAACCAGTGTTAATTCWAGAGCACTGTTCAGGCTCCATCAAACAGTACCAAGAGACAGCTTTATGCTCAAAACCTTTATTTTGCTAAAATGTCTGTAGCAGTCAAGTCTGTAGCGGTCAAGTCTGTAGCGAGTGGTTTTACTTTCTACTTCTGCTTTTCTCCAATGATGCCAGCAGGCCTGAAGCAATGTGACACGGACTTTTTGGGTTCTAGTGCAAGATGTTAAGATTCCTGAGGTTATTCCCAGTTATTTCCGTAAGCCTCTTGCCYGCCTTATGGAGACTCTGCTTTGTATAAATCGATGTGTGATCTCTGCCCTCCAGATTCAGTGAGGAGGGGATGGAGGTGATGGAGCGCTTGATCTACCTCTTTCGCAAGTTCAACCAGTTGAAGGTCAGCAACGAGGAGTATGCGTGTATGAAAGCCATTAACTTCCTTAATCAAGGTGAGTAAATGGAAGGAAGGAATCAATCGCACTGGTGAAATGATCTGAAATAGTCTGAACAATCTTGGCTACACCGATGAAAAGGGGAGAAAGGGTAACTAGGTTTTTACCAGCTGCTCTAGCAATCCTCTCCAATCAAGGAGGTGTCATGTAAAAACACTCTCGTGTTAGGTAACTGCTTAGGCAGTTAACTAAGATRCTCACAAAACCATTATGTGCATGACCTTATTTCCAAGGACCTTTCAAAAGTTCCTTTTTGAAAAATATATTTGTTCATTCTCAGAATGGCTTTGTATTACTGATTCTCCATATTTTTTAGAGTTTTACTGACTCTTTAAAGCATTTCCCTTCATGATTTATGCCTTGCTGGATTCCTACTGTTCAGATTGTTCATCAGTACACTTCCCTGTGCCTGATGCTGACTTCTAAAAGTGGAAAGTAATGACTAAYGAAGTATTTCTTTGCAGGCAGTGAATCCTGCCTGGTTGGGGACTCTGTCCCCAAGGACTAGCCAGCAGATTGAAGCTGGCAGTCCAGCCTGTTGCAAGGCCCTGGATGTTTCAAAATCCGTAAAGTCAGTGCAAAATAAAATGCAAATTGCTTTTTCAACAATTTTGCAATTTTGATCATTTCTTAACTGATTTATTGGACTGAAATAGTTTGGGACAGACGGGGGTTTCCTCAACCACACGTGTGCTGCTGCGACCCGTTCCAGGAACTGCTGTGATGACAGATCTGGGGTCTCTTAGCATCTCTCTGTGTGCTGTGTGTGCCCAAATGAAGAAAAYTGTTGAAAGGGAAATGCCAGATTGGTGCTGTTCAGTAGTCCTTCTGGAAATGAATGTCTCTGAAGTCTTCCATACTGTGGAGGATAGTTGTACTTTGTGAAAAAGTGCTGAAAACTCCCTCCTCCCCCACTCATTTTCACCAAGAGATAGTGCTGACACTTCAATGTGTGCCCGGGGCTGAGATTCCGGTTTGCTTCCCTGGACAGTTTCCTGACACTGGATAATACACTTCTTTAGCTGTTTCCATTGTTTTCCAAAATGTATTTTCATTAACTTCCTGTCTTCTTTTATTTTTAGTTGAAGCTTGCAATTTTTTATGTGAAATACCTGAAAATTATTTTTAAAAGTCAGCTTTTGGGCAGTAGATGAATGYCTCTTCCGTCATATTGTCTTACAAGAGGGAGCCTGCAGCAAGGGTCGCAGCGTTTGCCTCTCCTGCCCGCGCCGGATCCTTGCCAGGACACCGAGCAGCAAATGTCATTGATCATGCTGAAATGCGGCAACGGGGCTTCCTGCCCTTCTCATAGCTCAGAAATGCCCATTTTTCCTTTGTGYGCGTTGCTTGACATTGGTAAAGCTACATTTTAAAATAAGAACTTGACAAGTTTTACAAAGCTCATACGATATAATTCATAGGCAGATGGGGAGAAATATGATGATACCTGGTATTATAGAGTTGAACGTTTTCCTCAGCCAAGATGATATAGCTAAAATCAACATGTTTCTGTCTGAGGAAATATTATGTTGAAGCCAGTGCAAGGACTAAAGCCTTGACATACAGCTACTTTACAAAAGGCAGGTAGGGATTTAAGGTTGCCAGAGCTGTTATCTCCCCAAGAGTTCATTGATYTCTGAAGATGAGCAGCTTAGGACATTGCCTATTCTTGGCCATGTCTTTTCTGGAAGGAAGTCTTGTACCCACATACTGTAATATGGGTATATTGGGAGAGGAGATGGAAACTTGAATCTCCTTGTACCTGTACACTTGAAGTCCCTCTTCAAAGCAGTGACCCAGTTTAGAGGTTTAGAAATGCCTTTTCCTTCCTGAAGAAATGGTGATGAGTGTGAGTGCGAGTCTGCTGCTGTTCTGATATTTTCATTGTGTTTTCATTATTCTAATCATGTTTATTTTCAGACATCAGGGGTCTGACTAATGCGTCCCAACTGGAGCAGTTGAATAAGCGGTATTGGTACGTGTGCCAGGATTTCACAGAGTACAAATACCCACATCAGCCAAACCGCTTTCCGGATTTAATGATGTGTTTGCCAGAGATACGATACATTGCAGGTAACTTCTTGAGCTCTCATCCCAGTGGGATCATGTGAAAATTATGACATTTGCTTTTGAAAGAAACGTGGCCTTATTTATAAAGTCTCGTGGACAACTTGTCTACCTACGTGGGACCTTTCTCTATTTAAGCATCTCCTTTGTCTTTAAGGTCATATAATTCACTCACTAGACTGGCTTTTGCGAGCTGTGAAGATACTCCTAAGCACTTTAGTTGGATTGTCCATTTAGTTTCTTCCTTTYGACCCCAACTTAGAGGTTTCAGCTCAGCTGGACTTTAGGGCAGCTGAAATCTACAGGGGAGTTTTCAAACTGAGTTGTGCCACCAGCTGTGTCTGAAGGGCCTGGTCCTGTTAAAACATCCTTTGTTCCTGGATCTTATGGTAAGGGGGTGATATTTGCCTGCCCATGTCAGGGCTCTTCACCCTACTCTGTTGTAACAGACCAGATAATAATCACAGCATAACTGCCATAATTTACGCATGGAGATTGCAGGGAGCTTAGGGAGAGGTGGCGGGTCGTCTTTCCCAGCTTGTAGAAAAACAGCTCCATGGTGGAGAAATCCTTTTGGTCTGACTTTGCCCATTTATTTAGCTTTCATTTTGGTAAATAATAAATCCTGCTGTGTCCAAATGAATATCAAATGTCTAATGTAGCAATAGGATGATTAACTGTTTCTCAGAGAGGTTCAAGGTAAAACGGTCTCTTGCTGCGTAGCCAGCTGAGGTGTCTGCAACCCAGCTCAGGAGTGGCTGCTAATTCTGGTTCTTTCTTAACAGGAAAAATGGTGAATGTCCCCTTGGAGCAGCTGCCTCTTCTTTTTAAGGCCGTCCTGCATTCCTGCAAGACAAGCGTGAGCAAAGAGTGAGCCCAAAGGCCCCCGGCCCGTGCCTTACTCCGATGCCTCAGGCAGGGACCCGGCTCACGAGGAGAGGGGGAAATGTGATCCAGGCAGTGGGGAATTGCTGAGACAAGGCAACGGGTGCCCCTGCTGTTGTAGCAAGAACCTGTTTGTTTGTTTGTTTGTTTTTTTACTCTTTTTCCTATATATTTATTTCACGACAGAGTTGAATGTATGATCTTCAACACAATGCACATGGTTCTGTAGGAGTGCAGCAGATGCATTCCCTAGCAGTTTACAGAATGTGAAGATGTTTAATGTTACAGTGTTTGTTAGGGTTAGTTCTTTTGTATTTTGGGGACCGGGGACCGAGATGACTAAGACTACCTCAAGGAGAAGATGCTGTTTGCGCACTGCTCTTTCCATGATTTGTATACGAAAGCATTTGTCACAGAGAGCAAGCTGCCTCACTTCACTGACAGAGCTGTTAGCATCCCAAATGGACAATTTTGGAGAAGGGTATTAGAGAAGTGCCAAGCTTTTTTTGATTGAAAAAAAAATACCAAAAAAATCAACAACAACAACAACAAAAAGCAGGACATGGAGAAGAAGGAAAGGTCTGCCCAGACAGTTAGTTTCTTTTCCTTAGTCAGGTTTTGGGTGCAGCTGGTCATGTGCACAGTTTCCTTGGGTGCTGACGTAGAAGATTGTAGCATTGGAAAGCTGAGAAGGGCTCCCGAGAGGATTYCCATGCTGGGGAGGCTGGAGCAGCTCCTGCCCCAAGCCCAGCCCCACTGGCACGTGCCCAGGGGCCGCTCAGGGCAGCCCAGCAACAGGGGCCCTTGTTGGTAGAAATGAAGTGGGCTGCAAATAACTTCTCATCACTTCCTTGACATGCTTTTTAGGTTCACAATAGCAAAAGAAAATATACATAGAGAAGAGGCAGGATTGTCCCTTTCAGTGTATTTCCCCCAAGATGATACCTAATTGCTGAGGAGAATTGCAGTCTCAAGCAGCCTATTTCTGGGAACTGTTAACCTACCTGTAGTTATGTGTAACGGTGACAAGGGACTCCAGGATCCTCTGTCATGGCCTTCTCTGCTGGACTCAGGGAATGCATGATTCATAGTGGTATCCCASCAGGATGAATTACTGCCTTTTTACCAGGAAAAACTAGTATTACTACAACACTTGGTAGGCTATTTTGCCCTAAGTGTTAGAAGGCTTGGATTTTCCACCTAGCAACTCCACACCATCACACTGCTGGTGTGATGACTACTGATTAGGTCTTTGAGCAACTGCTCAGCACTGGTGTTGATCTAGACTTGGGTGTCCTTATTATCTCCTGCTCATGGTGGTGATGCTGTCAGGTGAGATACCATTCCTCTAACCTCCTCCATTGAGGATTAACTCCCAAAGACTCAGTCATTCTTCTAGGCAGCTGTGTCGCCCTGGCTGAATTTTCTTCCCTGCATCCTTAACAGTGAACCTGATTTTTATGTAATGAGTTAGGGCTAGTCAAGAAGTTTTTGAATGCTGTTTTAAACTGCTTTGGGAAGCAAGTCCTGTTCCTCCAGTGCAGGAGGGACCGGTCGCTACCTTWGTCTTGTCCCGGTAGCAGCTGCGTATGGCACAGAGTAGGGATTCCTCAGAGTACTGCAGCTGGTATCAGATCAAAATCCGTGTGGCGGGGGACAGGACAGGAATGTCATTCACCACAGCCTTTTTTCCTTCCCCGTGTTTCCTGCACGCCGGAGCGCGTTCGTTTGGTAGCAGCCCGAGGGCCGTTGCATCCCGCTCGCTTGGCACATCTCTGGGTTAGGCAGCAGCTACTCTGCGTAGCGAGCGCTGCCTGCTCCTCCTGCAGAGACCTTGAGGGCTCCTTTTAAACTTACCCTTAAGGACATACTGTTGACTAACCATGTAGCCCCAGGGCAGCATTGCGTTCTTTGTAATTCTGCTTGGGAATCTTCCAGCTTGRTGCTCTCCCTTTCCTAAAAGTCCACACGCTGCTCATTTTTCATTATTTAAATATGATGTTACGGGTAACCGCTGCTGGGACCAGCAGTGGATCAGTTGGATAGAGCTTCACAAATGCAAAGTTAGTTCTGTAAATCTCATTTATTTTCTGATTGTAAAATGAGACAAGCACATATTTCTCAGGAAAGCCTTCTGCATACAGTGTATACCTCAGGTGTAAATGGGAAGATTTTAGTATGTCTGTTTGTAAGTTAGAAAGTATTTCTCAGTTTTTAACATTAATTTTCAAATAGCTTCATATGATCTTTTTATTACGGGTTATCTTCTGTCTTGATGTTTTATACGCTCAAGGGAATGTTAACTTGCATAGGAGTAATCTTATTCTACAATTACTGAATTATTATAATCTGTTAATGAGTAAGAGTTTTTAATTAGTGTACATAAAAGGGGTTATATAATTGCCAAATACCCAACAAGAAGCATCTACAAGGTACTCTGCGTTTAGCCAAAATAGACTCCCAAGAGTCTAAAAACCCTAAGCTTATTTGTGATTATGAATGGACAGGAATGTTCTACTCTCTGTTGTGTATCCAAATTTTGTAAAGGTTGATTGGCAGCAATATCCATTTACAAATAACTGTTCTATTGTAGGGGGTAGGAGAGCTTTGCTGAACGTACAGGTAAGGAAGCTCACGTACCAAACCAGAATCTGTCTCGCTGGACAGTCCTTATTAATATCTTCTGCACCAAGTCCTCTAATGACTTGTATTTTTTAAACAGGGTAAAGTGAATGTGTTGCATTGCAAACTCAGGTATTATGAGAAGGTAGAAATATAGATAGAAATGTAGAGATGTTAGGTCAGTCACTAGATGTATTTGTGAATTTGGTTTGAAGGACACCCTGGAAAGGTTGGAATTTTTGTTCCATTCTTCACGTAACATGCAGTTTACAGGGACTCATATTTTATTTGTGCTTAATGCTAGTAGGGGGAAGTTCATTATCTTTGGTATCTATCTGCTGTTGCTTATCTGACCTTCTGTCATAGAGGAATCAATCAACAATAATAGTCTTTGGTAGAATTTTCTGCCATGACAAGTCAATTTTTATCCCCGTTTTGAAAGATAAATTGGCTGCCTGACCCCCTCCTCTCCTTCACAGTATTGGTGCAAATGGAAAGCTGAAGAGTTACTTTTAATCTGAACGGGGATTTGGGAGATAAATTTTGGAGCGCTCTGGCTCCCGGTTGGAGGGCCCTGCCGAGGAGGGTGCGTGGGGTCGCAGCCCCAGCACGTCGCCGCCGCGGCCCCAGCYGAGCGGGGCTGCGTCCTGCCCGTCCGCGCTGGGTTCTTGTCTTGCCGTGGAGACGGTTGGTGCTCCCAGGGGGCTCGGAGAGGCCGGTTCTGACCCAGACGCCGTGGGTGCCGCRCTGGGTCGAGACCGTGCATGAGGAGGCAGCGCCGCAGCCCCGTGCAGCGCGGCTGGGACGGCGCTCGCTCCCGCGGCATCGCCCCTGCCCGCTTTCCGTTTTGGATAGCGTGCTGTTCCCGGGCCCCGCTGCCCTGCTCCCGCTGGCTCGGGGAGCAGCTCGGCCCTCACAGGCTTCGGCAGGCACAGGGGAGCCTTGGATTTGTCTGTATGTCCTGAACTGTGAGCTTTTCCAGCCTGCAGGGACACTGCAGGATAGACTAAAGGGAAAACAGGTTTTCCAGATGATCYGTGCAGACACGCTGGGCAATGGGGAAGGCAGGGCCATGGAAAACCCCCTCTGTTGTGTGCAAGCAAGGTGCCAGTGGCAGCACTGCAGGTTTTCTGCACCGTAGAGGATCTTTCTGGCTCCTTAGAGAGTTTTCCAAGCCTGTTAGCTGCTGCTCCAAAAGACCAGTGCCCAGAAAGAGCTTTTCGGGGTTATTGCCTGGAAAAAGCCTGGAAGAGCAGACAGGGCCRGGAAAGCAAGCAGGAATTTTCAGGACTTGGTGCTTCGGAAGGGCTGCCGGGCAGCACGGTCCGGGCGCTCCCGCGGCGCTCCCGGCCGGCTCCGGGCCGCGCTGCTCCGGGCCGCGCTCCCCGCCGCTCCTCGGGCTTCGCACACAACAGCCGCGCAGCCAGCCCACATTAACCAGATTAAGTCTTGTCCTTCAAACCAACCTTTTTAACAAAACTTGAATTTCTTTTATTACTTTTTTCGTAGAACAAAAAAGAAGAATTCTCCTGTGAATGTGCTATTTACCGTTCATTCTTTCTTCTTCCTTGGTTTTGATTTGAAGCTATGAAGCTTGGTGTCTGTGAAAATGTTGTTATTTCTGTATTTCTCAGGATAATAAGCGGCAATCATCCCTGCCACGTGAAAGGCAGGAGAAAGGGGGAAACCGGGGGAACTAGTTTAAGTATGAAGCTAATTTTTAAGTTTTAGATGATGTGTAAATGGAGGATTACTCACAAGCCGTCAGTGTCAAGCTGTGGTGTTTCTCTGGGTTCTCCGTGTGTTGTTTGCAACACACAGAAGCTCAGGGATAAGTATTTAAAATGTGACCCAGAGAAACCCTAGTTTTGATGTTGCAGCAGCTGCTTCTTTCATGACCTATTTGGAGAACTGTTAAAATCTGAATGAACTCTCTGGATAGGGATGTTGGGGGAAAGCCTCTGGTTTTGCTGGAGGGACTCAGCYGGCCGCTGGTGCCTCCCCGGTGGCGGTGACGGTGACTCCTGCGCTGCTCCCGTGGGTGTTGGGGTGGGAAATGCCCTCGCTTTGGGCAACGGGGCATTTGTGCTGCAGGCAGCCTAGGGCTGGGGCAGATTCGTGCTCCTTTCCACTTGGCCGATACCTTATCTTTCTGCCTTGGTGTTACGCMTGCTACGCTTGGTGCTTTTGGAAAGGGGTAAAATGGGTGTTTCTCACCGTGCCGCAGCCTGGCAGCAGTTGCAGCATTGCCGCCTTGATCCGGTACGCACAAGTTGGAGGTCTGGATGCCCAGGCGGTGCAGCCTGCCCGTCACAGGGTGGCGGGAGGTGGCTTCACTCGCGGTGTTTGGTRAACACACCAGTGCAGCCGCAGTTGGCAGGAGCTGCGAGGGGTGTCGGGAAGGGCTGTGTGCGCCCGGCGGGCCGGCCGGCGCCGCGCGCAGGAACCTCCAACAAGGCATGAAAGAAGCAGCGAGGCTCAGCGGGAAAAACACCCCCAAGGGCAAATGGAAGCAAAAATTGGAACCAGATGACGATCAACCTTAACAAAGCCTATTGTGATTCATTGTTTTCTTTCAATTTATAAAATGTCTTGTAATAGTTGATAACATTATTGACTCAATTTCCATAACAAAACTACCTCGTGTGACATCCTGTTTATCAGCTCCAAGGGACCGTGTGGAGACGGGAGCTCTGCGGTGTGGGGGCCCCTGTGAACGGGGTCCGCGCCGCTGTGCGCGTGGCCGCGGGCCCGGAGCGGCGCTGCCTCGCGCCGCAGCCGCTGCCCTCCGCAGCCCTCCTCCTCCGCGCGCTCCCTGGCG